CCACTGATTCTTGAAGTGAATCTATCGTAAAAATACTATAAATCATGATAATTGACAACATAAAATATTTAAAAAATGTTGTATGTGGTAGTCTTATTATACCTTAAATAGCGTCAAAGAAAGTACAACTTTGTAATAAGAAAACTTATTTCTTTATCCACGCAAACAATCGCTTCAAAAAACTCCGTTAGTAGCCCCAAAACATACCATTTTATATTATTGGGGCCCGTGCATAGCACGGGCAACATTATCTAGTTTCATTATAAAAAAGACTCTGATTTTTAAATGAAATTTAACTCGATTTATGAAGTCTCACGAAATTTCAATGTCTACTATATCGGTGGAAAACACTTGCACTTTCTCTAACATTGTTCAACTCAAGTCCCAAATAGGAAGGCCCCACGTATCCAAAGGCGCCTCTATTATTGAATTGTTCTTTGATGAGAGATCCATCATTACTCTCTTTCACTCCAGTGGGCCTTTTCTATTTCTCTCTATCTTCTTCCCTCTCTTCTCTTCCTCATGCCCAATCTGATCATTATCTTGTTTCCCTGTCTCTTTCCATCCTCTTTGCATTTTAAACTCTTTTTTGGTAAGACCCCTTTTTAATTTTTCTACTTTATTATTGTTAGATTTGTCATCATGTTATTATCACAAAATCTTTTTACTAAGATTTCAACACCAACCCAATAAAGTATTTGGCTTGATGTATCAATCTTTTCTCACTTTTAGTCCTTTTTTCTTAGTAAAGATTGCAACTTTTTTGTGTCATTAGAAAGATGGTGTACTTTTTTGTACCTTCTTATGAGAAATTTTGGCTTGATGTATCAATCTTTTCTCACTTTTAGTTCTTTTTTTCTTGGTAAAGATTGCAACTTTTTTGTGTCTTGAGAAAGAGGGTGTACTTTTTTGTCCTTTCTTGTGAGAAAGTTTTAGTGTATTGTCTATCTTGATGATTAAAGTTAGGATCTTTAGCAGTTTTTAGAAGATCCATAAGCTGACAAATTTTGTTTTTTTGTTTTCTTTTCAACAACAAAACAAAATAAAATGAAAATAACTGTAAAAGAGCTGTATGGATGGATAATGTCACAAGTAAGACAATAAGGAGGTTGAGTAGAAAATAGAGCACATGGATTGTTACTGTTCATATCTTACTTCATTTTGTTTAATTTGTTTGTTTTCATTGTTGATGTGTTGCTCTATGCTTTTTCCCAGGCTATGATGTGTATATTGTGTGAAATCTTGTGGTAGCTTTGTGGATTGATGGGTGAATCCATTGTGGAGACTACTGCTGTCAAGCACAAGGTACAGTTTTTGTGTTGTTTGATTTGTTAGAAGTTATGTTTCTTTGAGTATGTTGTGTTTGTTGATTCAATGTGTTCTTGGAAAGTTAGATCTTCATTTTCGTCCTCGTGATAGTATTGCTCAGGGAATTTCTTGCACTTGGATTATCATGTTATTTTGTTGTAGTTATATTTCTTTTTTCAGCATGCTTTGAAATGATCTCTATAGTATTTTGACATGACTTCTTTACTCCTGTTAATTTTTTTTAATTTGAGCCGAGGGTCTGTCGGAAACAACCTCTCTACCTCCCAAGGTAGGGGTAAGGTCTGCATACGCTCTACCCTACCCAAACCTCATTGGGACTATACTAGTTATGTTGTTGTTGTTGTTTGTAGACCTTGTAAGTTTTCATTGTGATTCTTGTTTGAGTTTATTGTTAAAGTACAGAATTGGTTTTAATGAACAGATGGGTGACTCAGTTGTGTCTCATCCTACACTTGAAGTGTCAGTTTCTTTTGGAAGGTTTGAGAATGATGCACTTTCTTGGGAGAAATGGTCATCTTTCTCCCCTAATAAGTATCTGGAAGAAGTTGAAAAGTGTTCAACACCTGGATCAGTAGCTCAGAAGAAGGCCTATTTCGAAGCACACTACAAGAGGATTGCTGCTAAGAAGCTGGAACAATTAGAGGAGGAAACACGGCAAGTAGAACAGAAAATGGAACCTCTGTGTCCAGAAGTAGCTGAGCCCAAATCTGGAGATGTGACAGAAAATGGAACCTCTGATGGTGATTTCAGTTCATCCAAGGGTGAGAGATCTTCTGTAGATGAGCAGCAAATGTCAGTGGTAGAGTTGAAGAATAGTGATGCAGTGGATGAACCAAAGGAGGATATTACTGTTGATGTGGAGTGTGATAACTTATTGGTTACCAAAGCTAAGGAACTTACTATCTCAGGAATTGATGAGTCAAAGGATGATATTTCTGTTGATATAGAGTGTGTTAGTCCATTTGCTACTGAAGCTAAGGAAGGAACTGTATTGGGGATCGATGAGTCAAATGAGGATATTTCTGTTGATGTGGAATGTGATAACTTAGTGGTTACTAAAACTAAGGAAGAAACTATTTTGGGAACATGTGATCAAGGAGAATTTCATAAGGTTGAAGAGCGGAATCCTGAAAAAGGATGTCAAGTTAGTGTAGTAGAGACTCCACAAGCAAATACTGAAGCACAAAAAGCCTCTCTTAAGAAAAGCAAGACCCCTAATGCAAATGTAAAGAATGTGCCGCGAAAGGTGATATGTTGGAACTTTTCTGTCAATTGGTACTTCAAGTATCTTATTGATCCAAGTTGCTACTATCCTGTTCTTGTGCTCCTTTTTTTTCTGTTGTCTCTTCCCTGTTATTTATGGAATCGTTTCTTATTCATGTTCAGGCATACACTCCAGAGGCTCGGGTATCCGTTGGAACAAAGAAGAAACTGACATCACCTGTGGCAAAATCCTCAAGAATTTCCACTCCAACATCTAAGCAAGCGCCAACTTCTAAGGTCGTTACTCCATCTCAACCATCAGCAAAGAAGGTGAATGGAATGTCAACTCAAAGAAGTAATAATACTCCTTTGGTACAACACAAGAAACTAGTTCCTGGGTCATTTGTGTCGCCTTCTCAATCCTCAAACAAAAAGTTGAATGGAGCAACACTTTCTCAATCCTCAAACAAAAAGATGAATGGAGCGACGCCTTCTCAATCCTCAAACAAAAAGTTGAATGGAGCAACACCTTCTCAATCCTCAAACAAAAAGTTGAATGGTGCAATGTCTTCTCAATCCTCTAACAAAACGTTGAATGGTGCAGCATTGCAAAGGAGTGTAAATTCTCCAGTGCTAGAGGACAAGAGAGTAGTTCCTACATCATTACACATGTCTCTCCGTTTGAGTTCCCCAAATTCTACAGCTTCTACTAATACAATGAGAAAATCTTTGTTCATGGAAACGATGGGAGACAAGGATATTGTCAAACGAGCATTTAAGGCATTTCAGAATAGTTTTAGCCAAGGAAGATCTGCTGGAGATATGACATATGATGTACAAGATCAGGTTCATCATTCAAACATATTTGTTTCTCAATGAGTTCTTCTGCCTTCTTATCTATCTGGTCCTCGAATGTTATTTTTTTCCATGTATAATTCCTTAATGTTTCACTATGTATTTAGCTGCTGCTTCTATTTGTTTGGTTAGGTGTCGTCAAAAGGATCCGAGCAGAAGATTTCACTTTCTTCGACTCAGAAGGAGAGTGAGAGGTAATTCAATTGCTTCTTTCAACTAGCTTGTATAGGCAACACATACTATTTTCTTTTGAGCTCTTGCTTACAACTTGTTTGACATGATTGTTCTATGTAGTTGAGTCTCATAATGAAACAGGAATACGAAGTATTTTTCTTGTGCATTTCAACTAAGTTGCCTAAGAAATTTTCTTAGATAAATTGATATATGTATTAGGCACCAATCTTGTCTTAAAAGTTGGTTTTGCACTTTTGTTTCGGAAGGAATCTGGGGGAGGAACATATTTATAAATGGTTAGATTTTCCTTTGCCAAATGAAAGATGAGGAAAACCCTTTATCCAAAAATGAATGCTGAGGAAGACTGTCAGGAGGAGACTTTCTTTTGTTGGAATAAAGAATGAAGAGAAGCTCTTTCCCCGTCAAAGTTATACTTCAGTGATAGTGATCAAATTAGCTGACTAGTAACAAAAGTTATGTAGGAGGAGATAAGTTAGTCTTTGCATTCCACGCCCACAACCCAAACCCAAACCCAAACACACGCCACCCACACATAGAAATGTTCTTTTCTTCATCTGCGTCTTTCTTCACTAAAACTCATGCTTCAATAGCTTTTTACACTTAAAGACCCACAGACACTTGTCGGTTTTTACTCGCCTCCGATGACACTACTAAGGACAAACATTTCCATTTGGAAAGATGTAGTTGGACTTTCTGCACAAAAGACACTGAAATTCTCTCTCAACTTATTATTCATACAGATAAAGTAGTTTCCTTGTGACCTGTAGGTCACGGGTTCGAGCCGTGGAAGCAGCCACTAATGCTTGCATTAGGGTAGGCTGTCTACATCACACCCCTTGGGGTGCGACCCTTCCCCGGACCCTGCGTGAACATGGGATGGTTGTGCATGGGCTGCCCTTTTTATTATTTCATACAGATGATAACTATCCCTTAACGTAACCGGTGTTTTTGAAGCCAGTTGTTAATTAGGGAAATAGATCTTAAACGTGCAAATAATTATTTACTTCTATGACAGATTAAGGAAGACACCAGATAAGGTAATCACTCTAAAAGGCCAATCGACGACTCGTTCAACCTCTTCGTCATCAGGGTAAAGATCTCAGAGATTCTCTTGTTATCCTTCTCATTATAACTATAAGCCAACACTTCCTGTTATTTCTTGAATTTTTAAAGTGCGCCACCAGACGGTTTCTTTATTTTCATTCCAAGTTTTTTTCCGTTTAAACCATTCAAAACTTTCATCAGTAGTAGCCCCTGCCTTTCAGGTGAGGGATTATGGTTTTTGAAGTTAAAACTGTCTGTTGAACTAAATGAGGGGTGCTATAGGGAGTTTGTATATCTTATCTATCTTCAGAACTTTCATTTCGTCCTCTCCGTTCCTCCCAAACAAGCAAAGAGTAATACAAAAAGGTTGTAGATAGAGGTATCATTCTGTTTTGAGAGGTCTACCTTCATACCGAATATTATGTAGGTTGACTCCTTCCTCTGCATCTCTTTAGCTTAGTGTTGTGTATTACCTTTTCCTTCTGAATGATCTTTGAGCGATATTTTTGAAATCGCTTAGACTGACTGCAGAAGTAAGTGTGCACGGAAGAATATCCATCAGTTATTGTTCAAGTATGCTTCTATAATTCTGTGGGTACTTCAACTTATTGAAAGTTGTTGAATAAGAACTTCATTTAGTGCTCCCCTTTGGATCCTGCTCTACAGAACCTTACACTAATAAATCTTGTAACTCTTGCAGTTACTTTTCGAACACAAATTTGTAAAACTTCATGCCCTGGGCAGAGAGGATCAAACACATTCGCATAGTTATACTGGCCTCAATTATGTGCAATCCCACTAATCAATTTTTAGAGTTGTAATTCATTTGCATACGTTAAGAAGTTCAACTTCATTTCGAGCAGGGCACCTAAAGATGCTGGCGTGGAGAAGAAAAGGGTGAATTCTATCAGAGCTTCTACTGGCTTGAGAATTGATAGATCAACTGATAAATGGAAGGAGGTATTGCAAAATCTTGCCTTCATGTACTTTGTTCTTATATCTTTAATCCAATTTATTTAACCTGCTTTGCACTTTTATCTTTCGTCTCATTTTGCTTTACCCTTAAAACATTGAAGTTCTACGTTCCAGTACTCAAAAGAGAGATGCAACAGTGTTCCTTCATATTGTAAAATAAATTTAGCATTGATGCGATATCTCCTAAACAAACTACTGATTATCTGGTTTACATATTTGCTTTGAAATAGTTAAAATCCAGTTTACTCGTCAGTTTTGGTCTTTCAAATATGACATGCAAACTAGTTAAGTTTTCCTACTAGTTTGAATGGAATCTGCAAGCTTGAAAAAGCATTTTTGTTGTCCAAAATGACATCAGAAAGCTAATTAAACTCTTCGACAAATCTTCACCTCCAATGCTATTTGTTTTAAGCAACAGAGCTTGCATAACAAGTCCTCAGCCATGATGTGTAAAGACTCTACTTCTCTTTGAGTTGGAGAGCGGTTAACCTTCACTATTCGAGTTTTTATTTAATTATTAATGTCGTTGAGCATTCCAATTCACAGGAGGTTACCAAAGGGAAGATCAAATGACCAGGATCAAATAGGTGAAATTTGAAAGTACACCTCTACAATCAGGATGAAACTTGAACTTCAGCATTAGCATGGTGGTTATTTTGTTGAGGAATGCACCCACTGGATCAGTCGTGCACGCAAGATATTGGAGCTGTTTTTTTGAAGAACTTAGGCAAGAAGACCAAGTCATGCATTGAAACTGCTAGCTCAGCCGCCTATTCTCGTATAGATCTGGTGTATCAACACTATGCTGGACTCCTGAAACTATCCTCTTGTTATTTTTGACCATTAAATTCCAGTCTAGTGAAGTCATTTAGGTTTTAATTCTCTTATATTATATAGCATTAGATCTTGTCGCCATTGTGTGTAAAAATGTACAAGCAGAAGGTGGTTTCCATGGTTTTAGGTTCCATTGTAGTATCAAAGTTAATGTATGATAGGGTGAAATGTGTTTCATATCCAAAGTTAAATTTATTTTATATGGTATCAAAGTAGCGTAAACATTTGGATTCAATGCTTTTAGTTCATGTGAGCTTTCTTGATAATATTGCACCTAATTTTCATGTGGGTTTATGATCAGTGTTTGGTTGGTTACACATGGTTTTGTTCAAGCATGTGGTGGGAATATGGGCTTATTTATACAAATATTCTTTTTTCATAGGCCATCATTTAGATTTTATCCCTATTTTATAACTAGAGCAAATATAGATCACATATTTCTTAACCTTACAGATAAAATTTTAGACTGTTGTCTAATTGTAGCAACTTACAACATTAGAGATGCAAACTGTAAATTAATACAACTTCAAAGGTTCAAAATCATAGATGTGCAAAATCCAATGAAGTGTTTCCCATCATGATTCAAATGAAGTATTTCCCATCGGAAATAACGTACCCAGTAAAATATTGAGTTTGCAGTCCTTACCACTAGAGGTAGAGAAATTGTTTTCAAAAGACCCTCAACTCAAGCAAATCATAGTAGTAATAAATCGTTTTAAAAAATAGTGAGTAGGAACATGACAACTAATAACACAGCAGTGTGGCACATATATGGAAGGAATCATGACAATTGCCATCTCAATTGAATTTAGTCCAAAAGTTGAACGATTATCTGCCACTCCCTTTATCAAATTCAGGTGCAGTTCACAGGAAAAGAAGGCATGTACCAGAAACATCATCTGTCGAACTATAATACTGAAAAGGAAACATAATAAACCTAATAAAGTTAAACTCACTACACTTCTCTTTGTACAACGTAGTGACATAATAACTATGATGTAAATTATTGTGTCCACAGTAAGCTGGCATTAAGACCAATAGCCGCTCGCAGTTGTCCAGATTTGGAAAGGAATATACTGTATGCTACACTCTGCTAGACCCTATCAGGCGTGAGTTTGATCATCCCTTCCGAGGTTTGTTACTTCAGATGGAAACAATTCGGTGTTCTGTTCTGGTTTAGACGAAAGCAATTCATTTTCCTGTTGAGGTTCAGATGATAGCAATTCTTTCTTCCCTTCTGGTTCAGACGGAAGCAATGCATTGTTCTGTTCTGGTTCAAAGGGAAGCAATTTTTTCTTCTGTTCCAGCTCGCCTGGAAGCAATTCATTGTTCTGTTCTGATTCAGATGGAAGCAATTCATTGTTCTGTTCTGGTTCAGACGAAAGCAATTCACTGTTCTGTTCTGGTTCAGACGGAAGCAATTCACTGTTCTGTTCTGGTTCAGACGAAAGCAATTCATTTTTCTGTTCTGGTTCATACAGAAGTAATTCATTGTTTTGTTCTGGTTCAGACAGCAGCAATTCGTTCTGCTGTTCAGGACTTCCATTTTTCACACCAAAAGCTAGTTGTATTGAGCGCCATGCTTTGTGGTAACTAATGTTCAGTCCATATCTCTTTCTCATTTCTTCCTTCACAAAATTTGGTGTCATTTCTGTTTCATATTCAGGTAGAAGCTCACGGATGTAATCAGATATGACCCTTGATGTTGCGTGCCGTTGTTGGTCAGGTTTAAACACATCAGCAGAGCAAGTATGGTTTTTCGCATACTTACAAATCCTGAATAATGCAGAATCACTGATCCGTGAAGAATGCAAAAACCAACGGCAATTGTCATCATAACACTTCAGATAATATCTTTTTTTGGTTGACCTGACGGTCTTGAATTTGAAGTGGTTTCTGATTGCGCTATTTGTGAAACATTTCTTTAAACATTCTTTGTTCTCAAACAAAGATCCCACAACTATTTCATCCAATGAAGCATCTTCTCTCAAAATCACACCTGACAAATCATCTCTTTTACTCCTCGATCTTTTTCTTTTTTTTGATACTTTTCTGTTCTGGACCCTTTTTCTCAGTTTCATACCATGAGATGATTTTGTTTCCAGAGGTTCAAACTCTGATATAGGCTCAACTGGTATCGATGTCTCATCTCTTTCAATCTGCATTTCCTCTTGTTGTACAATATTGACTACGGACAAAGAATTGTTTTCCACAATATCAACAATGAAACGGGAAGTTTTGAAATTTGGATCATTTTTCAACAAGTAGATGCAAGTAGTAACTTCCTCATCGTTTGTTACTTGCATTCCTTTGCTTGTGTCTAGATTCGAGTCAAACCAAATATTTGCTTTAATCTCACCCACTTTCAGTTTCAGAACCTGAAAAATCTTCTCGACAAGACCTTCAAATGTTATCCCATCATTCACAAGAATTAGCTTTATCTCATGATCCAAATACTTGTTATCTGTAGTCCATTTGCCATTGTAAGCAATATAGATGCAAACCCTATCCATCCTGCATCAAATGAAACAACCCAACATACTAAATACTTGCAAGCATTAGCTTTTAAAACTAAATCTAAAATCACAAATTTTTCGGTGATTAAAGAGCACTAGCTTTTACTTCTTAATCTTAAGAGCCAAACGTGCACTAAGTACTTCGAATCAACAACTACGCCTCAGTCTAGAACAAGTTGGGACCAACTATATGAATCCTAATTTCTTCATTTAAGCTCATATCATATCATATCATCATCATCATAACAAACAAAATTAAACTAAAAAACATGTATGTATATATATAAATAATAGTAATGGTAATAATAGAAGGTTCATACGAGTGTAAAATATATCCTCAACTAATTCTTTTTCTTCCATTGCGCCCTATCTTTAACCAAGTCTATATTTATACCAAACATTTGGAGGTCTTTTGAAATCACTTTTTTCTATGTGATTTTAGGTCTACCCGGTCCCCTTTTAACATCTTCACTTAGTGCATCTATAAATACACATAATATGTCTAAACCATCTCGAGCAACCTTCTCACATTCTATCCTCAATGTCAATGTGGTCGTTTCTAATTTTATCTAATTTGGTACAACTGCAACATCCATCTTAGCATCCTCATCTCCGCAACACTTACAGGCCATAGCATCCCAACATTCACTACCATACCATATAACATAGTCAGTCTCATAGTTGTTCAATAGAACTTACGGAATCCTTCTATCACATAACTCCTCGGTAGCACTTCACCATTCAAACCATTCAGTTTTAATCCTACGAGTAACATTTTCATCTATCTCCCAAAATTCAATAGATAAAAAATCAATTACATACGCATAGCCCTAGAATAAAAAAGAGGCGCAACTACTAAATAAACCCTAATTTCATCGTTTTCAGAGAATCAATGCACGAAAAATATGAACCAAAAAAATTAAAAATTAAACCAAAAAAAACATGAAATAATTACCTGAAACAAAGTAATCCAGAAGAGAAACGGATGTTTATCAGGAAAAAAATTGGCGAAACATTGAAGAAGAAGAAGAACGGCGAGAGAGAGAATGAGCTCCTGATTTTTTTTTAGGGTAAAGGGCTTTTGTATTTTGACTCAATTAGCCCCTGTATTTTTAAACAAAACAATTATATCCCTTTAATACTATAAAAAATAAAAATCTTCACAAATTTATTTTGTACCCTATATAGTAATATTTTTATTTTAAAACCAATCAATTATAAGGGAATATATATATCTTCTTTTTTTAGGAATATGCATTTTTTGCAATATATTCACAAGTTGTTTGATAAGAGATATACTCAATTTTTCATTAAATAATTTTCTTACACTTTAAGTATATTGGTCAAATGTTTTTCTAATAAAAGTAAGAATAGCATCATTACACATTTATCAAGAATTTGCTGGAATAGGTGATATAGCTATTGATTAAAATAGCTATAAAAATATTGAATATGAAAAATATATATTGACTAAAAAAATAGGAGATGTAAATCGTATAGACAGAATTCTCCTGCTATATTGTCTTCATTATCATTAGTGGCTGATTGTTCTTCTTGCTTCCCATTTATTATAGGTACTATATTTGGTCTGATTTTGACTTTTATTTCTTAGACTTGGAACACTAGGACTGTTTTAAAGTTGTCATTTTATTGAATAGGTCATGTTATATATGTCTCTTAAATTTTCTTTGAATTTGTGGGATGGGCTCGTGCATGTAGGCTTGGGTCTTCTTAACGTGTGTCATTTAACGACTCCTTTGAATTTGAAATCACTACTTATATACCCGGTATTGGCCATAATTCACAAGAACATTCTGTAGTCTTAGTAAGAGGGGGAAGGGTTAAGGATTTCGAATCCCCAAATGTGCATCTTCGAGTGTTTCAGCCGATTTCCAATCTCCCAGTATCAATATTTCGGCTGCTCAAGCCGGTATAGGTACAGAAGTGGCTACAACGGAGCAGCTTACTCCTGAGATGGATTTACCGACACGGATTCACCACAACTTATGACTTCGCCAATGGGGTAAACGAAGGCTAACCCGTTCTGGTTGTTATGACTGGTAAGTCTATCGAATCGTTGCAATTGATGTTCGATCCTGAAGAGAAGGAAAAGATCTTCAGAAAGTAGGGATTTGAACCAATATTGCTTTTGTGACTTTCCCTTTAGTCGATCATGACGGGAAGATCCCGCTGCCCCAGGATCTCGACACCCCTCTCAACAGAACTCATTTGGTTCATCCTATTGGTGTGACCCATCCGAAAGAAGTATCTTCCAAATAAATGTGAGAATTCCAATGAATTTCAATTAACTTTCTATACTTCTAAGGTTAAAAGGTGAAGCTTATTTCTAGTGGTAGTCCGTTGGATCTTAGTTTTTTAAGGATTAGGTTCTAGGTGCGGGTTAACTCTTGAATTATTCGGATCCATATATGGTAAAAGTAGTAGCTTAGTTGTTCCCACCTCGCCTTACCAAGTGTGTATGTGAGAGTAGTTTGTGTTGAGCATTTTGGCATTGGTTAATCTTTGAGGGTAGTTCAAGACAAGTTTTAAATGCCCAAAGAGGGAAGAAAAAGTGGTATCTATTATAGATCCAAGTAACGGTGTTAAATGGGCGGGCTGAAGATATTAAAATGGGTTGGATCCTGACCCATTCAAGTTCACTTTGGGATCAAATGAGATTAAAAATGAATTGGGTCTTGACCCGCTTAATCTTAATAATTTTAATGTGTTGTTATTTAAATTTTATAACTACAATTTGAATTTCAACTCAAGATTTTTTAATATATTTTTTTAAAATTACAAATGGATAGATAATTCCTAAAAAATATAAAATAAATAGTGATTCATACATTCAATACAGGAACATACATTACATCAATGCAAATAAAAAGTCTTAGAACGAGTTGAAATTGAAAATTAAATTGGGTTCAATTGAAGATATTAAAAAACTTGAATGATATGAGATTGAATCCAATTCAAATTATCTTGAACCCAACCCTTCAAATTCTGGACAGATTAGGCGTATTTCCTATAGTTGGGCTCATTTTTGACACCCTAGAGCCAAGTATTATGGCATGTAGGTTAATCTTTGAGAGTAGCTCAAAGTGATTTATAAATTGATATATAATCTTAGATCAAGAAAAATGATTTAGAGAATAACTAATTAATGTTAAGGGTAAAACATGTTAAAAGTTATGATTAAAAGTGTAAAATCTATTTTTGGAATGCTGGACTAATAAAATTTAAGCATAGCTTTTTGATGATGCTAAACTTCTTTTTTTTTTTTTTTTTCAATCCTCACAGTACAGAGAAGAGATATAAGTAGAGATGTCATGTTTACATAATCAAATTCAGGTGGTGTTCAATTATTTTACGTCTGTTCCAACTATACCTTAGAAAGGTCTTAGTAAAGAAAAACTTTTTACATCATACAGATGGTGAAGAGACGAGCTGCGACGTTCATATTATCGGATAGTATAGGATATGCCAGTTCAAAAATGTTCATAGATAGTCCAATAAATCTTCTTGTTTCTGCAAATCCCATGTCACTATCTTCCCGTCAAGTCCTGAAATGTTATCGAGGATTAACATGAATCTCCGGTTACAGAAAGAGGCTTTCGAATGAAGTATATAATCCATATAAACTAACCTGAAGTGGTGAAACGGGTGACACTAGATTTTCTCTGTTTGGCAAGTGGTAATATGCAACTGGGATTCCAAGATAAAGAAAAGAGTATTGTTGTAAGAACTATTAAAAGCTTAAATGGAAGGCATGAACAAAATGTGATTTTGTTGAAATATTACTTGATACAGTTGTCATGAGCGCCTCTTGACTGCTCAACGTTGTTGCTGGCTGAAAACTTTGATTGACCATAGAATTTCCCAAATGCTTCCGAAAACTGTCAAATATATGGAGATGAGAGACAAATAAAGAGCCGTGGTATATGGATGACACAAGTAGGAAGTCGATCAGAAGTACCAACTGTACTAGGCCTAGGTTATAAGGTCACGGGATAGCTGTATAAGTGCACTGCTCTAGCCCATCAATTAAGTTTAAAGGTAAGATAATTTCAGAACTATCTTTGGGATAAGTACCTGTGATCCATATTTGGCACTTGAAGATGCTGATTTCCGTTCATCGAGGAATCTCAAGAAACTCCTGAAGCATAAAAAACAAATTTAATTAATTACCTCCTCAAAAGTAAAAGTAGATTGATGATTTCAGCAATGGTTAACCTTAAGAGAGAATAGACAACATAGAGACAATGGTTAGCCTTGGATTTCAAAAAAGCTTTTGATTTGGTCATCATAGCTAACTCGGGTTTCCAAAACAAAAGGGCAGAACACTTGGTGACTTACCACAGTGGGCCGGCTAAGACCTGGATAGATTACCTACTCCATAAGAAGTGTGATCAAGGTTTACGCCAGGACCGCAAGGTTATCCCGATCAAGAATCTTACAACCCAATATAAGCTTATGGATTTAGAGATCAAGAGGAAGAAGATGATCAATCCTTGATCAACTGGGGAGGCTTGACATATGTCAAAGCTTAGGAGATGGGGGAGAAGTAATGGCTATTGGGGAGTAGTGGGGACGCGGATAATATGTGGTCTAGGACAGAAAGTTACATTAGGCAGCTAGAGAAGTGTTAAGGATTTCGAGGGGTAACTTTGGTTGACATAAAGGGGACTGGTGGTGGAATGAAGAGGTTCGACGGAAAGTGAAAGTCAAGAATGTTGCGATAAGACGTTAGTGGAAAGCAGAAACGAGGATAAGAGGAAGAATGGGGAGAAGCATAAGACAACGAAGAAGGAACCAAAGTTGGCAGTTACGGAGGCATAAAAGGCAGTTTTTAAGCACTTGTATGAAGAGCTCGAGACAAAGGCCGGGACAAGAAGTTATATAGGCTTGCCAAGGCAAGAGAGAGGAGAGCTCGTGATCTGATCCAAATGAAATCCATCAAGGACGAAAATGACGAAGTAATAGTAGAAGAGGCACACATCAGAGAGAGATGACCGACATATTTCCACAAGCTCTTAAATGAAGGGGGACTTAGAGCACTCTGAGAGTCGTGGATATTTTGAGTATTGCATGTGCATTAAGTCTACGGAGGATAAGCGGACAATTCGTAGGATGAGGAAGGGAAGAGCGACCGGGCCAGACGAGATCGCAGTGAAATTTTGGAAGAACACAAGCGAAGTAGGTATGAAGTGGCTAACGACAATGTTTATTGTCATTTATAAGATCACTAAAATGTCTGAAGAATAGAGGTGGAGTACAATGATTTTGTTGTACAAGAACAAGGGCAGTATTCAAAATTGCAATAACTTTAGAGGTATCAAACTACTGAGCCATACTATGGAAGTCTAGGACAGGGTGGTAGAGATGAGGATGAGGAGGGGTTTGTCTTATTTTTAAGAACCAATTTGGATTTATGCTGAGATGATCAAACCATAGAAGGCATTCATCTTGTAAGGAGATTGTTGGAGTAGTATAGAGATAGGAAGAGAGATTTACATATGGTGTTCATTGACTTAAAAAAAGCACATGACAAAGTCCCTAGGGTGGTTCTACGGAGATGTTTAATGTCTATAGGTGTCCATGTGGTATACATTAGGACAATTAAGGACATGTACGATAGCACCAAGACCCAAATAAGAACGGTGTGAAAGACTCGAAACACTTCCCGATCGTGATAGGGTTGCCCTAGTGATCAACTCTTAGTCTGTTTTTATTTGTCTTAGTGTTGGATGAATTGACACGACATATACAAGGGGAGGTGTCGTGGTGTATGTTATCTGCAGATGGCATAGTACTAATGGACAAGACGCGCATCAGAGTTAACAATAGGCTAGAAGTTTGAAGAGAGACCTTAGAATCTAAAGGTTCTAAGTTGAGTAGCACCGAGACAAAGTATCTGGAGTGCAAGTTTAGTGACGCAGCGCATGAGGTGGATGTGGAAGTGAAGATTGAAAAAGAAGTCATCCCTAAGGGAGGAAGTCTCAAGTATCCTAGGTCAATAATCGAAGGAGATAGGGAGATTGACGGCGATATCTCACAATGTACTAGAGCAAAGGGGGACGAAGGCTTGCT